TTTTTTTTTTTTTTTTTTTGAGACCAGGTTTCACTCTGTTGCCCAGGCTGAAGTGCCTTGGTGAAATCATGGTTCACTGCAGCCTCGACCTCCTGGTCTCCTGCACTGGCCTCCCAAAGTGCTTGGATAACAGGCATGAGCCACAAATGTAGGCCAGTGCCTGGCCTAAAATTCTACCTTCTCTCTCTCTCTTGTTAAGCCACTTATTTTGATTTTTTTTTCTATTATTTATAGCCAACCTTAACAATCCTACCTAATAAAGTCAAAAAGGGTTTACTCATTCTAACTCCAGATACAATCACCCTCACTCAAAAATGAAACCTGGGATATAGCGGGGCTGAAAACACACACTCAGCTACATGACATCCCAGGAGGCCTACCAAGGCTGGGTGCCTCCCTGCTGACCTGCTCACATTTATAATTTTCCTGTGGGATTTTAAATTTATGTGTTTCTTTCCCAGCATTCAATTCATACATGCTGCCTGTTTAACTAAATTTCTCTTCGGATAGTCAGTGATACTGAAGGAAAGCTGAAGGACACAAGAAGGAACACATTCATTCTCTTTTCCCTATCTTTTCACCTGGCCTCATATTTTCATTCCTCTTTATAGTCTTACCCTTACTCTTTATTCTATTCTTACAGTCTGCACACTTTTGGCCTCTGTCTTTGCTGCCTCCAGAGCTTCCAGGTATTTATGTTATTGTTTAATTTTCAGTGCTTTAAAAATATGCCTTTAGAGGCCAGGCACGGTGGCTCACACCTGTAATCCCAGTACTTTAGGAGGCCAAGGAGTGTGGCTCACTTGAGGTCAAGAGTTCAAGACCAGCCTGGCCAACATGACGAAACCCCATTTCACCTACAAGTAGAGAAATTAGCTGGGTGTGGTGGCATGTACCTGCCATCTCTGCTACCCAGGAGGCTGAGGCAGGAGGATCTCTTGAGCCGGGGAGGCTGAGGCTGCAGTGAGCTGAGATCATGTCACTGCACTCCAGTCTGTTTTTTTTAAAAAAAAAATGCCTTTGGAAAGGTAAACATCCCACACATGTTAAGATAATAGGACAGTCTTGCTGGTAAACCATCCCCCAGAGCTTAGGACAGTTTCCGTCAGGCCCTTGGCAAAGAAATGCAGCTCCACGAGCCAGGGGATGGTGATTCCTGCTTGACTTGGGAGTTGAGTGGGAGAATTCTGTGTTTCTCTCGCTGCACTGTGGTTGCAGATGTGCACTGGCCACCTGGGTGCTAATCTCAGCCCTGCACCTCACTATCCTGAGCCTTTAATAAGGTATTTTTTTCTGCTCATAATTTGAATGAAGGGTTCCCTCACAGCCCTAAGATAAGAATCAGGCCAGGCACGGTGGCTCACGCCTGTAATCTTAGTACTTTGAGAGGCTGAGGCAGGTGGATTACCTGAGGTCAGGAGTTCGAGACCAGCCTGGTCAACATGGTGAAACCCCATCTCTACTAAAAATACAAAAATTAGCCAGGTGTGGTGGCCCCCTGCAATCCCAGCGATTTGGGAGCCTGAGGCAGGAGAATCACTTGAGCCTGGGAAGCGGAGGTTGC